AAATGTTTTGCACTACTTTTCACTGAAATTTGAAAGGTTTGTATTTTTAGATGTTTCATGAGCTGTATAGTATTTTTTTAACAAAATTAAGAATGTCAACTTAATTTATAAGCTGTTTCTGTGTGAGAATATGCTTCTTATCCCACAGTGTTCATCAAGTACCAAGTGAAATTTTGCCCCTAACTACATAGCCATATTACTTTTCCCAACATTTCACACCACCTAAGAGGGGGAGGGAGGAACTTCGTATTTTACTTTCTAATTCAGAAGCCATTCCTGTTCCCTGATGACTGCCCTTGTTCCTGTCCCAAGAGCTTTTTCCCATGTCAGGTATCTATCTCATTTTCTCATGGTCTATGGCTTACCGGTGGGTCCTGTGTTGTGTACTGTATATCATGAATCCATTTTCACGTACAGATTTTTCCCATTGAATCTGCTTCTCGGAGGATGAGCACTATGCACTTTTCATTGCTGATTTTTTACAATGGAATTTCACAGTTCGGCACTAAGCTACGGAGCGTATCTCGCGTTCAGTGAGGAACAGGTCCCAATTTCCCGTCTGTTGCCATCTGAGCTAAAACATTGACAATGTCCAGATTTCAGGCTTCACAGCCTCTTTTCTCTTGTTTCCATCTTCTATTCTTTTCTCCAGAGATGAAGAGAAGTGAGATCATCGTGCCAACAAAACATCCTTTTTAAACTCTATTGTTCTTGTCTGGGTGTTTCATTATGAGCTGTCAATTATTCAACACCCTGAACAGAGCTGTCTTTGGAGTGACAAATGTTTTAGTCATCTGGCATTAAAAATGCTCATTTTCGGTGTTTAGGCTTCAGCGGTGGCTGCGTCGCCATGCGAGGAAGTAATCCACCCGGCCGCTGGGAAGTGAAGGACTGCACACACTTTAAGGCGATGTCCTTGTGCAAGCAGCCAGTGGAAACGCAGAAGGAGACAGAGCAGAAAGAGAATTGGCCCTTTCGACATTGCTATCTGGACTGGGAGTCCAAGCCTGGCGTGGCCAGTTGTTTCAAGGTGATGCTGAGGTTCCATAGGCATTCACAACAGTACCAGCATTACTTCGGTCTGATCCATGTATCAAAACTTCCTTTTTTCCAGCAACAGTTTTTCCAGAATAATGGCTGGCACCAAGCAGGTGCTTAGTTATTTTTGCTCCCTGTCTCTGGCCTTTCACTTCTATAGCATTTGAATAATTTTAAGGGAACTCTGGCCTGTCAACGGTGACACTGAAGTTCTGCTGCTGAAGACTGGTGTCTGCCAGCAGAAATACCACGTGCCACTACTAATCCAAGAAGAGCACCATGCACTGCTACCAGCTGAGGA